TGATTATAAATGCAGTTGTTTCAAAGTACCACAGAAAATGTTAATTTAATACTGATTGTACTGTACGTACGTACGTATATACATAAATCTGATTATTTTGCGTGATTTGTATATTATATAAGTTACTTTTAAACCTTTTAAATCACATAATGTTTCACGAAGAGATTGTAAACTGAATTTATTATTTAAAAAAATAAATTCGGTTCTGAATCTAATTTACTGTATAATTAGAGTCAAGTTGTAAAATCAGTCAATTGCTTAAAAGTGAAGGTGCCAAATTTTGAAGACGAAATAATAGAATTACGAAGATGGAAAAGAGAAAAGGAAAAGTGGTTCTGGTTCTTCCTTAAAATATTTGGTTTACTTTTTTTAATTAAATTTCTTTCATTTTATGTAAATAATGCTTTTGGAATGTTAATATGAGAATTCTCTTCCAATAGACCTCCTTTTTATGATCGTCTACATGATGCAAAACTTTTTAATGATATCTTTGAATGTTTATGGTTATTTCCAGAAATATTTTTTTTAAAATTTTTTTTTTATATTCAAACGTGTATATATATATTTTGATAAATAAAAAATAATAAACTCTAAACTTATCGAACAACAAAGATATGGGTTTTCGCAGTGGAAAAATAATCATTGAATCTCTCAGCATTAATCAAAAATTTAAATTATATTGGTTTTGAATCTGGTATCGAAAACCAAATCGCTCTTCTTTGTAAAAACTTTAAAAGTCTTAAGATTAAACAAGAACAACATCACCTTGATAACGCTTTATGTGAAAGACTTCTTTGACGCATTTGGATATTTCATAAAACTTATTCAATAACAAAAATTGCCTTGTGTTAAAACAAAAGCTTCAGAAAAACTTAATTTCCTTAATCTAAACCACAATTCGCTAGGAGAATCGCATTTGTAAATAGTCTTATAAAGGTGAGTGTGGGCAACCCCATCTTTACTTAACAGGTTTAATCTTATCATAATAAGATGTTTAGTGATTTCGTACTTGGAAAATCGTGAAAGATCAGTTTCGAAATTTTGAGCATTTTAAAAGTTGCACATAAAAGTTATATTTGACTTAAAAATTATTTATACTGAATTATCTAACTCGTAATCTAGTCATCTGTATTACATGATTTTGGTACCATATTTTTTTTTAAGATATCCTATATTCGACTCAATATTTTCAATATTTATAAATTACAAATTTTCAGAAAAAATTTAAGACAAATATACCAAACTAGATTTTTGTTTAATTATGTTTGGGATTAATTTGTTATATATAAAATGTTGAAGTTGCATTATCCTAAATCTAATAATATAAAAACTATCGCAAATAAAGTATTGAAGCCAATGATTGACTAATAATGGATCAATTTTTTCCAATATTTCTAAAAGTCTTATAATTTCTAAATGTAATAACCTTAAACGTCCTTTTATATCGTTTAATATTTCTTTATGAATCATCTCATCAAATTTAATCTTTAATACTTTTTGTTTCTCAGTGATTTCCTCGTCAATACACTTTCTTTCGGCGTCATCTTTGTTCTTTAAAATCTTGATTCCCTCTTCGTTACGCTTTTCTTTTTCGTTTGCTTTTTCATTTAAAATGTCGTTTTCTTTTTTATTTAAAATTTTATTAATGTCATTGTTTTTAACTTGAATTTGTTTATTTTTTTGTTCCTTTATGGTTGACATGACGGAGACAGATGAATTAGAAATATTTTTTTGTTCCTTTATGGTTGACATGACGGAGACAGATGAATCAGAAATATTATTTTCGTTTGTATCATTGATTGACGTAGAAGAAGCAGATGATGAGGTTAACAAAGAGGCATGATTTTTATTTTCATTGTACAAGTAGTAGCAAAAAGAAATGCTTGAATACAAATAATAGATAAACAAAATAAGGGTGAGAGAGCATAAGATTGCAAAGAAATCCATCTTGCGAATTTAATTTCTAAGCATGTTTTATCGTAGCTGTAGCTTAAATACTTTCATAGTGAATTTGAATCTGCACAGGCTCTTCTTGTTGCATAATATAAAAACTTGTTTAATTCAAAAAAAAGAGAAGCTTTACATTTTATCAAGACCTGATTATTCACAAATGTGCATTATCGCGCAGTATTTTAAGGCTTAGCATGCGTATTATAACGCGCTCGATTCTATTATCTTACCCAATCCTAATTAAGCAATTGACTGATTTTACAACTTGACTCTAATTATACAGTAAATTAAATTCAGAACCGAATTTATTTTTTTAAATAATAAATTCGGTTTACAATCTCT